TTTTGTACTAAAATCCAATTTACGTGATAAAATATTAATTAAAATTAAATCCCAATGTTCCACAGGTGCATTTAAATTTTTTAGCGAATCTACATTTTGCTTTATACTAGTAATAAATTCTCGTAGTAATTGGGTAGTAGATTTGACTAAGACCGGGGTATCTAGAATACTTTTTAAATGGGAATTTATTATGGATAAATCACTATTATATCTGTGTTCTAAAATGGTAATCGCGATGTCAAAGTTTTCATTGATTAGTTGAAGTGAATCAATAAGAGAGGGGTTCACCTCTTAAGGAGGATTTTAAATAAATTAATTTTTTAATTTGTGTCAAGGAGTTTGTGTTTATTATTAGAGAAGTGAATAATTGGTGAAATGGAACCCATTTGCTGAATTCACCTGTGAAAGTTGGTATTGCTATTTGTGACAACTTGACGCTGGGGGTGTGAGTTACATATGATTGAGATATCGGACTAGTTGGTGAAGAATTTGATGTTTCTAATACATTAAGTCTATTACGTATGCATGCAATCAAAGCAAAATATTTATTTTCAAAACAAAGTCGATCTTCTAGATCGACACCAGTGCCTTCAAGAACAAGGTGGTCTATTTGATCTTGAATTTCACTGTATTTGTTAAAATAATTGTGTAAATGAGTTTCTCTATCCTCAAGTTCGAAAACAGTAATGTCATTAATATTCTTGTCTAGCCAGTTTGATATACGAGTAAATGATGACTTTGCAGTTGTACGTTGCTTTTTTAAAGCATCCATTATTGTTAAACATTTAAAGAAAAATGTAAGTAAATATGAAAAATAGTAAGTTTAAATGTTATGTGTGTTTACCAGTGCAAAGCAATACTTGTGCGTGATAAGTAAATATGGAGATGTATAAAAAAATTAAAAAACACAATCAAAAACAAATATTGCAACTAAATATCGTAAATAAATGTTAATAAACAAAATTTTAAAACACACTGTTCTTTAATAACACCTAAAAGTTCAAAAATACCTGAATCCTCTTCAGAGCTGTGAAAATGGCATGAACTGTGTGTCATGCGGGGAAAGTGTGAGGCATCGGGCGTGTGCCTTACTGTTGAGTTGACGGGAAATACAGGTGTGGCATTGGAAGCTGCCAATGTCGAGTCATGAGTCTACCTCAAAGACAAGGAATGTTGAATCTGCCGCTGGGGGGATATTGTCTAATATCCGGCTCGAAGGACCATTTGTATGGACGCCACTGGCTACGTGACGCTCTTACAGACGGAGTCAACCTTTCAAAATGATTTAACTAAAAACTGGAGTACTTTTCCATAGAATTCCCAGATCCAATTATTATGTCGGTCGAGGAGTCAAAACTTGAAGTACACAATAAAATAGGACGGCACTGTTTAGATAGTTACATGCGTTTATTATATAAAGTTATATTTTTATAAATCCAAACTTCGTCACACATACATTTTAAGTTACAAAAAGTATGAACAATCACTGAGTTATAACACAATCATTACCGTTGCACTGGTAAACATGATTTATATATTAAAAATAAAGTGAATATTTAAATTGAGAGTATTAGCTTGTTTTATCGAGGCTGAGTAAAAACAGAAAGCCCGACACCTTGAACTCCTCGTCCGTCGTACCCAAAGCGCGGGAGGGCAAATCTCAAGAGCCATCTGCCCAGATGGTACTAAAGTTACATTAATTCTTAATAAATGTACAAATAAAAGGTTCTGAAATTGTAGAATCGATAATTTGACCACATGCGCCCTCTTCTTTGCTGGGTACATGTCACCATGAGTAGTGTTTTTTTATAAATAAAAATACAAGTTTGAAATGAGTGGGAAAATAATTGTTACTTTGTTCAGGGAATCTGAACATGTATTGGTACATCATTTTTATGCTCTGCATTATATTGTATGTATGAAAAATTATATTAAAAAACCTATTTTTGGTATCTTACTTATCTTATACATAAATCTCATCTTTTCCATTTTATTTACGTAGTTAAGTATATTAAATTGAATCATATAATGCAGGTAGGTAAATGAGTTACCAGTTGGGAATACCGGCGTGTCCAGATGCAAAATTTTTACCCAGGGTTCCCAGTTGAGAAGTTCCTAATTGTGAAGATATCTTTCTCATTATCTTGATTATAGAAACTATTCTATAGAAGTCAAATGTTCTTTAAAATTAAAAGGCTGCATTTGAATTTGTATTACAAAAATAAATCATTAAAAAGAACAAAATTGTTATTTACAATAAATATTTCTCTTATAATCGTATTTACATTTAATGAGTGATGTGAATAAAAAGTAACAAAGGCTAACACTTAAGTATTTTAAAAGGTATACCTGGCTCTCTAGTTACAACTAAAGTTTTTCCGGTTTTGTGGTTATAACTACATTTTTACTGTGAATAAAGCGCAAACACTACTAATTTATTGCAGTTACAACTTGACAATTTGTAAGTCGAAACGAGACCACACTTAGATTTTTGTTATTCGTAAATATCCTTACCATGGCGATGTTTATGCAAGTACGAGAAAGAAAAGTTTATAGTGAAATAAGATTAGTGACAAGATGTAAGGAACTGATACGTTTTGAGAATGAAAGTATTAACTTTTTAACAACAGAATTCTTGCCAGACAGTAATGAAACTCGAGGAAAAGCTCTGAAAAAATCGCATGGAAATATTTTTACGCTACGTTGCCGACTCTTGTTTTCAGAGTGGAGTATCTGAAGCTTTGGAGTGGAACGCTCATCAGTGAGTAAAACTATAAACTTTGTTGTGGATCATATTCTGGAAAAAGTACATAATTGGATCCATTTCCCTAACACAGTTCAAGAGATAAACAATGCAAAAGTGTTATGGCAGATACGATTTGATTTACCAAACGTTGTGGGAGCGTTAGATTGTACACATGTACAGATAGAAAAGCCTCTTGCTTTTGGTGATGAGTACATTAATCGAAAAGGTTACCCCAGTATTAATGTTTAAGAAACGTGTGATGCACAAGAAAGAGTTACAAGCATTTGCGCGGATTGGCCAGAATCAGTACATGATTCGAGAATATGGCGGCGTAGTGAAATTCGTGACATCATTTCTCAGTATGTTAGATTACTAATTCTACTTTTATCTCAAGGGTTGGCGGTTTAAATAATACAAATTGCCAATAATTTGAGATTGGTTTCGTTTTATTTGTCTATATTATAATATGGTCTATGGTGGCTGACTAGACCTGTAGTTGATAGCACCGATAAAATAAAATCAACAAAACAAAAAAAGAGGAAGAATTAATAATTAAATAACCTAAAATGAAGCATGGTTTTAAAACGAATTATGTTAAACAATATAATTATTAAAATACCTCAAAAATATATAAATATATGATTATTAATCATGAAAATCAAGAACCATTGGTATACATACCTCTTAGTCCAGGATCCGTAAGTAAGGTCGACCTTCACCCATCTGTTTACCGGATAAAAGTATTTTTTTATTAAATAAAATATGTTTTTAAATATACCGCAAATGGGTTGCCTAAGAAAATACGGTCACGGCCATTTTTTATTTTCCTCTCTGTGTACAGAAAAGAAAAGTATAGGAATCATGACATAAGTTGTTTATAATGTCATTTTCTATTATTTTGTCTCTATACATGATTTTCCTAATTTGAGATATTTGATGAAAAGTGCAAATTTCGAATTTTGAAGAAAAAACGGATGAAGAGAAAAACACCAAATTTTGAACTTAAGCTTTAATCTATCCTGCGATGAGCTGAGTAAGGTTTGGACACAGTCAAAGAATTTGGGAATACTTTACAGGGTGTCTTTTTTTTACTTTAAGAAAATAAACAGTCTGGACCGAATTTTCTTAGGCAACCCATTTGCGGTATATTTAAAAACATATTTTATTTAATAAAAAAAACTTTCATCCGGTAAACAGATGGGTGAAGGTCGACCTTATTTCGGATCTTAGACTATCTGTTTACAAAGTTTAAAGTTTTTGATGATTTACCCACTTGTTACCGGTAGGTACGATTTAACTAAATATCTTAAGATTCACAAAATTATAATAAACACAATAATTCACAATAATAATTCACAATATAATTACTCCCAGTTATATTTGTCAATCTATTGTAGAAATTTCGTTTAATGTCCAATGCATACGGATCGGCAGCACAAATTAAATAAAAAACTAGGTTACCTTATTGTCTGGGACAGTACTCTAGGAAAAACTAAGTACCCTTACTCGAACTCAAGGCTGGAGTTTGTATGAAACGATACATGAGAAGGTGGTAGAACTTGTGAGAAACGATCCAGGAGTAGGTAGTTGTCCTCAAAATAATAGGAATCTCAACTAGGAACGATCCAGGAGAAGGTAGTTGTCTTTAAAATGATATGAATCTTCACTTATACTTTTTCCTTATAGATATCACCGTTTATATACAAGGTATACAGAGAAATCCCAATTGCTAACGAGGGTAAATCGAGGAAATTCTAGCTATTCAGTAAAACTATACGTCCAAATAATTAAGTATTTCGACTACTAGAATATAATGATTTATGCTAAATATAACCTATAGAAGACTTACCGTAGTTGTAATGGGGCCTTCGATGAATATGCCTGTTCACAGGAGTACTTGAGTAAGTTCTATAGCAAGTTTGTTTATTATCACTTTAAACCCAATGACTGGAAGAGTTTCAGTCTTGAACAACCCTTATGAGTAATAATAATCTAACTTGCTGAGAAAAAAAAACTGTAAAGAAATTTACAAATCTACATGTGCATGCTATGAACTCTCAAGAAGAAATGTCAGTTGCACTCGCTTCATCTTTAGATGTCGATAATCGATTTTTAACTTAAAATCTTGCAATTTTGTGTAAGTGATCTGTGTTGTTTTGTGTGGTATATGTCCTGCATCAAGTTTTCGTGAATATTTGGCAGATTTTAAATTAATTTTTTAATTATATCGGTGCTGTTAGTGAATATCGATATAATGTCGTTTAGATTGAGAGGGGAACATCTTAATTTATTAATCGACTTTGCAACGGGTCATTTGTCTGTTTTAAATGGAAAGGAGAAATTTCGAGAATTATGGGAAGAGTTAGCAAACAGCCTAAATTCACTTGGTTTTGGAAATCGAACACTACATAATTGGCAAAGGGTAAGCAAAAATTGTATTTCATAGGACTGCAAGTAACTGAATATTACAGGTAATTGTTAGGTAGGATATCAATGTATTTATTATATAGATACCAAAAGTATTCTCTAAAAATATGCCCAGAAAGCTGCAAAGTATAAAAGTAGATTCTTTTATTTATCTGTATATAAATATCTATGGCTGAGAGGACAAATGTTGGAAGTCTGAAAATGTCATTTTATGTAAATTCGATTTAAAAGTTGGAGGTGACATGATGAGCTGCATAGTTTATATTAGTTTTTTCACCTTCAGATAAAGTTCCAGATAACTAACTGACGGATATATTATCTGAGAGCTACTATCTGTCAGATAATTAGTTTTCTGTTTTTACCAGTAAATAATATGTATGGTAAGTATCCAGTAGTTTTTAACCTTATGTAGTTATGTAGCTACATATTTATCCATCAGTGAAGTATTTTATCAGGAATTTCATAGGTAAGATAAGTTATCATTTAGAAGTTAGGTTTATCCAGAAGTGAAAAGATTACTTTTTAAGTTACTTGGGAGATAAAAATTACCTGACACTTTATCTGAAGGTGAAAAGACCGACCCTAAATGGTAAACCGTTTCAAGTGGATGGACAATATTTGGAAACCATAAAGATTTCACCTTGAAGGTTATAGAATCGTACATATGGACTAAAATGGACAAACAGTATTTGTCCTCTTAATCATCGATATTATGTTTTTATTTAGACATGGTCAGATTACCAATTAAACTTAAAGAAAAAGGCATCTGAAATTAAAAGGCACCAAGAGGGTACAGGAGGAGGCCCAGAAATTAGGAAAAAGCTATCTAAATTAGAATTAAGAGCTTTGTCTCTTTTGGGAAAAACATTTTATGCTGGTTGTGGGGTAAAAGAGCAGGGAGTAAGTCATAGTTAGATTGCTTATTTTAATTATACTAAAATATGTTTAACTGTTAATAAAATTACTTTTTTACAGATTGCTAATACGAGCAATATTGTATCAAATACAAATAATTCCCCATCAACATCACAAGTAAAGGAGGAATGCCTGACAAACATTCATTGTAACGATCATGATTATTTGGCTTCTACAACGCCAGCTAAAAAGAGAAAACTTAGTGACAGAGCAGATAACATGAACTTTGTTTATCAAGATACTATAAAGTCATTAAAAAGTATTGAAAATACTGTTACCACTAGTATACAAGGACTTGAAAACACAATTGATAGGAGGCTTGAAGCCCTAACAAAAACAGGATTTGCCAATATAAATGATATATTAAAGAGTTTTTTTTGATATATAATAGTAGCTTAAGTTTCAGAAAAATATTTAGTTTAATGAAAGTTTAGGTTTAAGTTGCTTAATAATTCCTAAATGGGGTCTATTCTGTATCATAGAAATATTTATATTAGAAAAAGAAATATTTTATTCTCAGTAATACATATAAAAACATGTTTACATAGTCGTCGGTACACATAAATACATCACATTTTACATACATTAACATACAGCATTACCCGTATAAAATTAAAATAAAATAGGATTTTAAAAAATCATGGTTGGTAATAGTAATAAAAAATATATAAAAAAATACAATATTAAAAATATTAGGTGACATGTTTCACTCTTACAAAATAATCGTTAGTGTTATATAGACTCATGTCCAGTGATATCTTTTTAATTTGATGTTTAAACTTTTTTCCTGGTAGATTACGGATGTGGGGCGGAAGTGCACTATAGAATGAAATGCCTATTGTTCGGGACTTGTTTATTCTAGTTCTCTTTTGGATTAGCTGATTTTTTCCTCTGGTATCATATGTATGATTGTCTGATTGACATGTGAAGTTTCCCAAATTATTATGGCTAGCAAGTTTTCAAATACTATTTGCGAAAACAGGGTAATTATGATAATTTGCTTAAATAGTGGTCTTCCTTGTTCATAATAATTTACCCGCAGAATAGAGTGAAGTGCTGATTTTTGCAAGATAAAAAGTTTTTGTAGTGAAGTGAAGCATTTCCCCAAGTTAGAATCCCATATGTTAAATTGGAATGGAATAAGCCATAATAAGTAGTTATTGCTGCTTCTGTATTAACTATATTTGATATTCTACATAGAGTAAACGTGAATTTTGCCAACTTGTTGCATAAGTTATTTATTTGATAGTTCCATGTAAGTTGTGTGTCAAAATATATACCGAGAAATTTAGTGTTCATTGTTTCAATAGTAGTTTGGTTCAACCTGAAGACACATGTTTCAGTTTTATTGTGATTTAAAAATAATTCGTTGCTATCAAACCATTGTTTAACTTTAGTCATAATCTTAGAGTTTTTGATAACTATGTCAGATGTGTTATTGCAGTGATATGAAAAATTGGTGTCATCTGCATACATGGTAGTTAGTAATTCGGCATTATTTGAATTCATTTATGATGTAAGATCATTGATATATATATAAAAAATAATAGAGGGCCTAGTACGGATCCTTTTGGAACACCTCTTTTCAATAATAAAGGTTTACTAAGTTTATTTCTGTAATATACACTTTGTTGTCTGTTTTGCAAATAAGCAATCATCTTATTTGCAATGCCTCTAATGCCATATTTATCTAGTTTGTTGATTAACAATGTGTAAGTTACACAGTCAAATGCTTTAGACAGATCAGTGAATATAGCTACGCATTGTGATTTGTTTTCTAAAGACTCCTGAATGTTATTCATTAAAGCCTGGCATCTGTAGTTGTTCTCCCATGTCTAAAACCATATTGTTCCGCAGAAAACAGGTTGTTGTTTTCAAAGAAATGCATAATTTATTTTACTATAACACTTTCAAAAATTTTAGAAAAACATGGTAAAATATGTATTTGGCGAAAATTTTCAGGTACTGAGTCATTTTTTTTGTGGCATGGTAGAACTTTGGACGTTTTAAAAATATCTGGAATAGGTACTTTCAGCTAAACAACAGTTTATCAGTTCAGTAATAGGAACAACAATTGCTATACCAAGCAAGTTGCTTGGAAGTTAGACCAAGGTCAGTTCCCATATAGAACACATTACAGAAATATTTCAGAAAGATTACATTGAAACATTTGTAATGTTCTATAAATATTACGAAACATCCCAGAAACATTTCTGAAATGTGCCTGAAACGTAAAAATGTCCTGTAAATATAATATTTCACAGTAACATTTCTGAAATAAAATTTGAAATCTTTTAGCAATATTAAATAGTAATATTTCAGAAATATATTCTAGCTTTTTTTTCTAAAATATTATTAGACTAAAAAAAGACATTTATAAATATACATGTTTATTTAAAAAACACAAAACTAAAACATTGATTCCTAAAACAAACAAATAAATAATTTTTAAACATTATTTCATAAAATGTAAAGGTGAATCGCTTCATTTTCACCAATTCCTTTAAATGCACCAATCTGAAACAAATTATAGGTAATTATAAAGGTCTATTCATATTGTTTTACATTAACTATAATAAAACAAACAATACTCATGCCTACACAAAACAGAAAGCCCCACTTTTCAATCGGCTGCAGAAATAATAAATAAAACTGGTGAAGGGACAGCAAATGTAGGTTATATTTAAATAGAAATAATATAAAATGCCTATAAATGTGATAATCGAAATGGCGCCACTCGTCTCAGAGAAGAGATGATAAAGTTAGTAAACCTAACCAGAATTAACAACAAGTACTACAAAGCCAAGAGAAGAAAACCAAGGAAATAAAAGAAAAAATGAGGAACCACACGCATCTGATAATTTAATAAAAAGAACAACCAGAGAAAATAGTCAAAATACGCCTACACAGATAAAATAAATAACAATAAATTATAATTCTCATTCAATTTAAATTCAGATATTATATACCTAATGGCTTTGTGTAATTCGTCCACACCCTAGATATAAGTATTAATAGTATAAATTTACATTCTTCTACATCAACTGTATCGGCTGTTTTTATCCTTATCATTTTAGACTTTTATTTAGATTTAAAATTATACAAAATCATTTAAGTTTATTAATTTTTTTTTATAAATTTTACTTACTCTTAAGAACAAATATATACCTAATTATGGATCCCTACATTCGCGATTTTGTTAAAAAAAAAATTAGAAAATTTTCAAATAAGCAAAGTAACGCATACTAAGGACATCTTACAAGTT